TTGGCCTAAAACTGCCACTCCTTCCAATATATCTGCAGGATTCCGTGCTACAGGAATTTACCCATTCGACTCCGCGGTAATTCCCGAGTGCGCGCATTTGCTCCATCTGTACTGACTGAAAGAAAACTTCCGCCGTCACAAGAGTTACAGGAAACTACTCTACCTCAAGCAACGTCTACTCCTAAACAAAAGTTAATTCAAGACAAAAAAAGAAAACGCACAGATTCAGACAGTAGTAACACAAATTCAGAATGCGACTGGATCTCTTCCGATTCGATAGATGATGTCTCAACAGAATCGGAAAGTTCTTCCGATGAGAAATATAACGGCAAATGTGACAAATCTTTTGATAATTTGTCAACACCAGACCTGGATCTCGTTAAACAAAACAAAGCTCCACCAAGAAAGTCTATAAATTATAAGGCTGTTAAGTTAAATGAATAAATGTTTTTTAAGTCCCCGTTAACAAAACAAAATAACTCCAATACTTTAGAAATGAAAAGCCAAATAAAGATATCAAAAATATCAGAGAAATAGAAGTCCCCTGAAAGATTTAACAATCAGGCATCAGTAAGTGGACAAAAATCTAAGAAAAAGGAATCTTGGTATTGTTTCCTAGGTAAGGAAGAACGACAACTCGATAGGAGGCAGTGCAATTTTTGTCAACAGTGGGTACACGAAGAATGCTGTGGATTAACACCGAGAGATGTCTTAATTCCTTTCAAGTGCCCCGACTGTGACGAGAGCGACTGACCTTACATTTTCAACGTTTTGATTTGTTTTAATTTTTGTTTGGTGTACCAATTTTGTTTCAAGAATATTATTAGTTTTATTTTGATAAAGATGTCTGTTCTTAATCATTGAAATAAAAAAAAAATAAAAACATGTTTATTTTTTACAGCAAACTACTTGAAAAATGAAAAATAGAGCTTTATTCTACTAGTGCCCATATTTGGTGCCCCTGCCCATAATATGTGCAGTTGTACTCATATAAAAAAAATTTAAAAAATATCCAAATGTTAAATCTCTAGTTTTTTTCATGTTCATGTTCTAACCTAATCCGCTCTAAAGGGTTTAGCACTTTTATTATTCCTCTATGATGAAAAACTGAATTTATTTGAAACAATTTGCTTAGGTATGCCCATATTTGGTCGAGGTACCTTAATTATTATATCTCAGTTTAAACACTTTAAATACTAAGTTCATTTCTTCAATATTTTAGACGAACACTCAGGTCCGTCAATTTTTGATTAAACTGCCATACGTCTTCCCCCTCCTCTAGCCTCTATACAATTTAAGAAAATGTACTTTTATGAAGTATTCAGTAATATTATCGTTAATTGCGTTACTTTTGATTTTAGTTCCTCTAGCGAAATAAACTGTCTATTAGTAATTTAATGCGTAGCATCAATTTGTTATTTTTCTTGATTGCGATAAAATTTTGTATTTCTTAACGTTAGAGCTTCTGCGACGTTTTTAAGTTATTTAAATAAATGTTTCATTTAATTATGTTTTGTTATGTGCAATAAATTATTATTTAAAAGAAGTGTCACTGCTTAAAATGTGTACCATTTTTTATCCCGCTGGAGGGCGCTAAAATCAACAGAAACTCAATGAAAAATCATATTACTGAATTCTTTATCAAAATTACCTTTTAAATGACGTCATACTTGGTACTTCTCCTGTTAAAACTTTATTGGTTAGAATTTTGAAATGGAGGGGAATGACGTATGGCAGTTAAGAATAGAAAGATGTTACCATTTATTAAAAAATTGACGGGTACCAGCATTTGTCTGAAATGTTGATACAGTTTCTGATAATAGATCTGTTTCCGTTTTCGTTTGGCCACCCTCTATACAGGAAGTATGTCAAATTTCTATAATACATCTTTGTATATCGAATCCAGTCAATCTAACTAGGTAATCGATTTTATTAAACAAAAGAAATAGCATGCTTTTAAAAAATTTAATTTGTACTTAATATACAGGGTGTTTAATTGGTAATTGGGCATATGTTAACTGCATATGGGGGTCACCTAGGTGGTTCTAAAAAAACCTATACTTCATGGGTCTGTCGCCCTTTATAATCGAGGAGAGGGTGTTTTATCAATTTTGCCGATTTGTTTCTAGGCTCATAACTTTTGAAACACGCTGTATATTTTTTTGATATTTGGTATACAAGTACACCTTAATTTTTCAAATCCAGTGACGTATTAATAATAGGGAAAATCCAGGTCTGGATTAACAAAAAATTTACAAGTTCTTCGATACCTAAAACAACACCCTGTATATCATAATTTTGAATATCTGTTTACAGATTTGAAAAAAGTAGAAAAAATTGAGTTACATCAAGTGATTTTGGTATTTCTGCATACAGTTTTCTTACCTAATAATTTGAGTCAAATCTAAGTGTTAAGAACCCCTGTATGTGAAATTATGGTAATATTAAACAATTAAAATTTTAAGTAAATAATGAAAAGACACTCACATTTCGAACAAAGTACACCTTTGCTTCAAAACAATAATCTGCGAAATAATTCTAAATTTTGATTGTTAAAAATAATGGAAAATTAATATCGAAGGCTTAGTGGCAATAACACGTATTAACATTTTTCCAAGTTTTCAGGAAACACATAAATTGGCTGCCTTTAATTGCTACTTAGAGATGCTATTAAACGTTCCTCTGTCTACGGAAAACTTTAATAAGGAACTAAACATAATAATTAAAACTATTGCTATAGATCACAACTTTGAACTAGATATTATTGATAAAATGCTAACACATAAACAAAATAAAATTCAACAAAACTTAGTTTATATTAACCATCCTAATATGGTACATGAACTAACCACCAGTAAGAAATACATTTCTCTTACCTTTATTGGAAAAGCATCCTATAAAGTGGCCAGCTTACTTAAAGACCACTTTAAAGTATCTTTCAAAACCCCCTCCTCATTACATAAGTTATTTGTTCATAATAAAGATAAATTAGATCCCTTTGACTTATCTGGAATTTATAAATTAACTTGTAAATCTTGCCATTCTTTCTATTTGGGACGCACATTTCAAAATTTCAAGATCCGTTTAAAAGAACATTTGCGTTGTCTTAACCAAAATACAACAGGTTTTTCACATTTTGCCAACCACCTACTGGACTCAAATCACGACTTCGATTCAACTGAAGGTTTCGAAATCCTACATAGTTCCTACCATAGATTTACTCTTAATAGCTTCGAAAGCCTCGAGATATTGAGAAATTTAAAATTAAATCCTGTTGGTTGCTTAAATGCCCAGATAATGTCAGAAACTCCTCCTGTTTTCTCAACACTAATCTAAATTTATCGTTCTAACTTCCTTTTTAACCTCCCCCTTTATTTCTATTCACATATTTTCTTGCAAGGGGTACATTTCAGTAAGTAATTTTTTTCCCACAAGAAACCAACGAGCATGTTTAAAGATTAGGTTAGATTGTGTGATATTCACATCCGTCATTTTCTTCTTTCCTCTTTTATTCTTCAGTTGCTTCACAACAGTTAACCCAGTCATTTCTTCTTCTTTCTTCTTCCTACAACATCACATACACTTGGTGATTGGTTCATGGCCCAAATCTTATATAATAAATATTTCTTCACTCATGGTTTACATCTTATTACCTATACCCTGTCATGGGTTTACCCAAGAATTTTTTTGTTAATACTTGCCACCACCTGTAGAAGCCTTAACTTGACAGGTCTCCTTTCAAAAATGTTAGTTTTTTGAAAAAACAACAAGGTTGTTTAAAATAAGCCTTATCTTTTAATATGTTTAATGTATGTGATTTGTTTTGTATGGTCTTGAATATTTTAAATTTTTACTATTTCAATTGACTAATATTTGTTTTTTCAAATATTTTTAACTTTTTATTACTTGTAAACTTTGTTCATTTTACAATTTATTTCACCCCACATTTGATGAAACTTGTTTTGTAGTATTCTCTAGTGGATGGAGAGTATCGTGAGTTTTCTCTTTTTTACTATTTTATATATCGTTTGCTCCAAGTTAACACACCTTACACCACATATTCTCCTTTCCACTAGGCGAGCCTGAAGATGAAGTGATGACACTTCGAAACCGGTCGCACTCAATGTTTTGTTAAATAATTAAACATTGACTTTCCTTGTGAGATATAAAGGACTTTTTCTCCCCCTTCACCTTAAAATTACCTCAACTCACACATGGCTACCCCCCTTGTCAACATATCAAATTGTTATGCCAGTTAACGTAAAAAAAATATTATTTGTCAGTATTAGGTTTGATACGAGTTATTGCAAAAAAAATTGTGATGATACGGGTTAATACATTTTATTCTTAATAACGAAACATTGTGGATAAAATAGAAAATATTATTATAATCAACAAACTAACTCATTAAATAAAATAAAAGTCACTATTTCAAGTAATAAAAGTACAAAAACTTACTTATTAAAAAACATAAAAAAATTAAAATCACTGAAAAGGCAAATTTTCATAGTAGTAGTGTAATTCTCTTGGTAAGGTCGTTTTGATATCTTGTAGATGATCAAACTTTAATTTTGATATTTTGATTCTTCTCTGAAACAAGTTTTGGGGTAATACATTAACACTAACTTCCTTGTATCTTTGAGGCAAATCTTTCAAATCGTGGGAAAAGTTTAGTTTATAATTAATTTTGCCATCCATCCCATAATGGATACTCGAAGATCAGTTACTGTTGGATCTCTTGTTCCACGTCCAGGCCGAATGCTCTTGTATCTCATCAAGTCTGAGTTATCATAATTTTTAAACAATGGATATTCAAGGTACTCTGCGTCATATGGGAAAGGTTTAAGTTTAGCAATTTTTGTTATATTTACATAATCATATGGTAAGAAAATGTCTCTATTTTTAAGTTTTCTTTCAATAACGCTGTGAACCGAGTCACACTCTATTTGAGTGTGCCCCGGTTCTAAGTACTTTTGGATCACTTGCTTTTTATATTTTACAGCATAGTTTAGCCAAAACCACATTGCGATTTTGGTAAGGGCAACCGTCACTCCATAAAACAGTGGGTTTATCTTCAGTACAATATTTTTCTAAATGGTTTATTATAATAGTGGTAAAAACAGATGAGACAAGATCTGCTTCTGATTCGTTCCACCAATAGTTTGTACATTGGTGACTGGCCAAGTTATAAATGGTAAAATTATGCAACTTAAGTCTCGTTTTAAAGTAGAACTTGTTTTCATTATTAACTGGACATAGTTTAACTGCTTGTACATCCATAACAAAAGTATATTGGTCACCTATCTCTGCTTTTCTCTTATCTTCACTTTTTACCAATCGAGCTGCATCTTTTAACTCAATATGTCTTGTATACTCTTCATCAGTCACATTGCCAGCACTATAAGACACGCAAATATTACACTGGTCTTCTTTTTTGGGCTAAATAAAGACAAGTTCATTTCTTCAAAAATTTACCAAAATGTAAACACACTTAGGGCTTGTTGGTTGTTTTCCGTACAATGTTTTTGGTAGAGCCTAAACACATCCATTTTTGAACAGAAAAGTCCTTCTAGGTAGAGCTTATGACTATCCTTTCTACAGTAATGTGAGCTCTGTTTCGGTAATTTATCAAAAAATGATCTTAAGAATAATTTTTGTTCCTCAGCAATTTGAATAGATCTTTGTTGGGGCCGATCAAGTTTCCGAGTAGTACTGACAACATGTCGGGGGCTGTGCATACCATGAATGTTTTCCAAACACCAGTGTGATATCATCCATTGTTTTAGTCCCAACGTTGATAGGAACATTTTTTTACATACCTGCTTAACTTCATTTTCAACCCTCAAAAAATATTCATAAGTAAATGACCTTCTTGATTTCCCTGCTACAAATTTTCTAGCAGTACTCTTCTTTTTCATTAAACTTGTTACATAGATTTTTTTCTGGTCCCATTCTAATTCTTTCCAAAATTTGTTAAAAATTACTTTTCTTGTCTCCATGTTTATAGTATTGCAGAACCTGGTTTTGTATTTAACACACTTCGATGAAGTACAAGAAGGTCCCATAGTCTTCGGCTGTCTCATTTTATTGTGGAATACTTTGCCATCCTTGGTTCTTGTGTAACCTAAATACTCTTCTCCCCTCATCCTTTTCAATCTTGTTTTTTCTCTATCCCATTCGGCCTTCGCCGGTTTTCTTCTTCGCTTTTTTCCTTCTTCTGCTACATCCTTATCCAGCCCATCTTCTGAGTCTAATGTTTAGTTGGTTTCTTCATAATCAGGATCATCAAGATTGTCGTCAATCTCTGATTCATTGTTAGTTTCTAAATTTGCGCCATTTGCAATGTCTGTTTGTTCCAATGTTCGAATTTCTGTAATATTTGTTACATCTTCTAACAAATTATCTTTTTCAAAATTGCTATTAGATGTATTGGTGGTGCCTTTTTTGGTTTGGTTTTCATTATTTATTTGGATCTCATTGTTCTCGTTATTAATATCTGGATCTAAATGTGCCTCAATACACCTATCTTCAATAATCGGCAAAGTTTCCTCTGCAATAATTACTGGATAATTTAAAGCCATTTCTAACATGTTCTTGATTCTGATATTACCACAAAGTTGTGAAATTGGAAAGTTATTCATTTTCTGAAACAAAAAACTTTAGTATAGTAATAGTAAGTAATAACGACATGTATTGTCCAGTTTGTTTTTAAATTTATTAAATAACACGTAATAGTCTGTAATAACATGTATGACGCTAAAATAAAATATTTTCATTTATCCAAACGTCACGAGCTTTCACGCAATGTTGTCAAACTGGATAACTGACAGAAAATAATAAAAATTATGATTTCGCCAAATTTGATGATACGTGGTATTACCACTAAGCCATCGATATGTATTATGTAAAAATTCCTTTACTTATTTTTTTTTTTTTAAACTCGTTCATTTCTTAATTCTTCGGATGCAATAATAAAAAAGTAATTAAATACTATGGTTTCTAGTATGTATTGTTTATTTCAGTGAACAATACCATTTAAGTTGGATTTTCCTATTTTTAGTAATAGTCAAGTAGGTTGTAATATAAAAAAACCAATTTGACAGTTCTGTGTATTATTGTCAGTGGAATATAATTTGCGAGTTTGTACTTGTGTTATTTGATAATTTCTTGCTCAATATGCCCCATAAATGTGAAAATAATGAATATGCAGATATGTTGTATGTGTATGGATTCTGTGGGGGTAATGGAAAAGCTGCCCGAAGGGAATATGGACGCCGATTTCCTGGTCGAAGGTTATCAAATGACAAAACATTTTCTAATGTATTTGGTTACTTTAAAGAACATGGTAAATTCCCAACCTCAAAAGAAAATGAACAATATGAGAGACAACATATTGGTTTAGAGCAAAATATTCTAGAAATGATCCAAGACGACCCCAAAATCAACACGAGAAGAATCAGTGACGCCATTAATGTTCCTCCGTCAACCATTTGGCAAAGACTAAAAAAAATAAAATAATCTCTAACCATACCGTTTACAAGTACAGGGGCTGCATAAAGGAGATGAAATTCCTCGACTGGCTTTTAGTAGGTATTGAGAAACAATCGAATATTACACAGATGCTTATTTACCGATGAGGCTCAGTTTACCAGAGACGGTATTAATAATTCAAGAAATGCTCATATTTGGCCCGAACGAAATCCGTTTGCCATAAGACAAACACACTCACAGATAAGATTTTCTGTTAATATTTGGTGTGGTGCTATTAACAACCGATTGATTGGACCGCATGTTTTACCACGTCGACTAACTGGTGAGGTTTATTTAGAATTCCTGCAAGATGTTTTACCCATACTTCTAGATGATGCAGGTGATGACATTGCAGGAATGTACTTCCAACATGATGGGGCTTTACCTCATTTCAGGGTAGCAGTGAGAAACTTTCTGAACGACAACTTTCCAAATCATTGGATGGACAGAGGTGGACCTCACAGCTGGCCTGCAAGGGGACCTGACTTTAACCTAATCGACTATCATGTTTGGGGTTATTTAAAGTCGAAAGTGTATTCATCTGATGTAAACACTAGACAGGAACTTCTTCAAAGAATCGAGGAATAATCCCGCTATCATTACTAAAGCAATACGAAATCTCACTAAAAGAGCTCAGAAATGAACAAAACGGTGGCCACTTTAAGCAACTGTTATAGTTATTTCTTTAACTTTTTTTTTTCATTTTCGTTGTATTAAAATTTTTGTTACATAATTATTTCTTACTTATTTTTAGTTCCTTTCTTATAATAAAATATTTTGTAATGATTAATTTAATTTAATGATCTTAAAACAAAATTGCAATTTTTTTCGAAATGTGAGTGTTTTCACCTTTTCTTATGCGATAATATTTTACGTTTTTAACAAATATTATCACACTGTCGTTACAAGTACAGGACGTTTAAAATAGTATTGAAATTAGAATTTTAAGAATTTTATACCCAATACAGACCTGTCGTTGCGTTTTTTAAAAGATTGAGATTCAAAAATTAAAAGAATGAACGAGGTTAATTATTATTATGAATTTAAACTGGAAAAGTAAATACTTAATTGGGAAAAAAATATTTTTTTAAATTTTATTTAATCTTTTTATGGAAACACTTAGATTTGACTCAAATTAATAAGTAAGAAAACTATATGCCGAAATACCAAAACCACTTGGTGTAACTCAATTTTTTCTGCTCTTTTCGAATCTGTAAACACATATTCAAATTATGATATACAGGGTGTTGTTTTAGGTATCGAAGAATTTGTAAATTTTTTGTTAAATTGGACCTGGATTTTTCCTATTATTAATACGTCACTGGATTTGACAAATTAAGGTGTACTTGTAAACCAAATATCAAAAAAATATACAGCGTGTTTCAAAAGTTATGAGCCTAGAAATAAATCGGCAAAATTGATAAAAAACCCTATATCTCGGTTATAAAGGGCGACAGACCAATGAAGTATGGGTTGTTTGGAACCACCTAGGTGACTCCCATATGCAGTTAACATATGCCCATTTACCAATGAAACACCCTGTATATTTATAAGTGCTAGCAGAATTCATCTAACTTTAGTTTTTCCAAACGAAACCATATGATTTAGTAAATTAATATATACCGGAGGCCGGAGGTGATAACGTGTCGGATACTTGAGAACTGATATATTCACAATTAAGACGTAGTAATTTCGAAGTACTTAATATTATATAAACACCTTAATATCGCCCACAAAGGAGTATTATTCCCTTTGGAACGACGCGGACTCGGTATCCCAAAGGAACGAACTATTGTGAAAACGTGCTAAAATTAATCATGGATTTAAAGCAATTCTAATAACGAGCTCTAATGGGAAAATAGTGATAGAAGCTGGACAAGATTCCAAAAATGTTTGATTATAAATTTTTCTTTAAAATAGTCGAATAAATTTAATCTCTTAGTTCAATTTTTCGGTAGAGTAGCTACCCCCTTGAACATTTTGCACTACAGGTATTCTTGGCTTGCTTTTTGGGGTTCGACGACTAAAGATTTCACATTAATTTGTCTATGTTTATAGTTTTTTATTATTACATAATATTAATTTTATATTTATAGTTTCTACAAGTTTAAAAATTATGCGGATTTATTTATAATTCATTTTAATATATTTTTGGTGTTTTTTATTTTGTTTTTAGTTTTTTGTTTGTAATTTTTTCTGTTATTTTTTTATTGCTAATTTTTTTTACTTTCCAGTCAATATACAGAAGGAAAGTAGAGCAATCATGATTTTTATTGTTTTTTTTTATTGTTGTTACCTAATGTCAAAATAAAAATAAATTTCTGCAATAGTTATTTAATTAAATAAAACTTTTTGTTAAATTTTCTTACCAAATACCATTAGAGCAGGTTAAATTACAAACCGAAAATACATACTTGGTCATAAATATTTTATGAAAATATTTGTTATCTCACATAAATTATCGAAATTAATTTACCCTCTATATAGGTATTACATGTGAACATCTTTTAGTCCGTCATATAGTGACAGGTTTAGGTGCCCCATTTTCGCATACAAGCCTCGAAGGGGATTGAAAGGTACATTGATTTTAAGTAAAATGAAAGAAAATGTACGAGGGGCTGCTGGGGATAACAAATGGAAAATTAGATTTTCCCTAACAAACACGAAAGGTTATTTTTTGCCCATTTTTCCACACAAGCCGTTTTCACCATATGATCAATTAATAGAACTAGGCTTCGGAAAACCAAAAGCTTTAATGTTGCAAGTGCTAATGGGTGGAAACAAGGGCATAATCTTTTAAGGAAAAATCGAGATTTTGCCCGATTTTTCCACACAAGCCTATAGAATGTATGAAAACGTACGTCGCCAGTAGTCCGAAAAACATATTTTTTTGAATGATCCGAAAGTATAAGTGAATTTTGTGGTCGGAAAATTTTTCTGATAAGGAAAATCGAATTTTCCATGTGTTATTCTCAAGAGCCACCCGTAAATTGCCTTACATTCTACTCAACATCGATGTACTTTTCAACCCTCTTCGAGGCTTATATGCGAAAATGAGGCACCTAAATCGGTCATTATCTGACGGTCTATTTCTTTAGGGCAGAATTTTTACTATTTTATTAATAAAAAGATGTCTGTTAGGTAGATGTTTCCCGTAGTTTTTGGAAACATATTTCTCTTTCACTACATATTGAAACATTCAATAATTTACTATTTCTGAATAAAAACAGATGGCGCTTGAATTGGGTCATGTTATTTGGAATTTAGGGCCACAGTGCCAACGCTTGTCACTGTGAAATGTAGATCAGTCCTGGCAATTAAATTTAATAAAGTCAACAAGATTCTCGGGGTTTGCCGTTTCGTAGATATAGGGCAATTTCAAAGGCATGTTTGCTCTGATGGAATATTATTCTAAAGTGACAAAATTGTAGTTATCTCTACCAGATATATATGTTGATGTTTCACACATATTCAACAGTGCTATATTGATCGTCGCGTTAAACTAATGGAGTAAAAATACTGTAAGTCGGTAAATTTATTGAACAACGAATAAATACAGATTTGATGGAGAGAATGATTCATGCCGCGTTTACCAAAATTATTAATATTATTTATT